TGACAACCCTTCTAGTACTAAGATAAGGATAGATGGGGGTTAGAGTCCTTTCTCCGGTAAAAAGAACGATAGGGTGGGATACAAAGGCTGTGGAAATCTTAAAGGTAGTTATCAAAAAGGCAGATAGTTGAGCTTGGTGATAAAAATATCAGACATTCCCACAGGCCGATGAGGCCCAGGGAGTGTGAAGTGTCCAAGCAGGGAAAGGTATGAACAAGCAGCAACCACATGGAAGAATGCTGAACAACAATGAGTATCGTAGGTGCAAAGGATGTTTGGCATCATTCTAGTTTCATGAAAATGGCTGTGAAAACATAAAAATGTGTCTCTGAAGTTTCAAAGTTCTATGATATTTATAGATAATGTATGAGTTCTTATTTTGGACCTCCTCAGCCTTGGACATTTCTACCGGGATAGATTAAGTTATTCACATCTTCTCCCATTCCAGACATTTCTCTTTGACATACTATGTTAAAAGTATGAAGTACAGCAGAATTAAAGCAACCAAAACAACAACAACAGAATTGGCAAAAGAGAACAGAGAAATGGAAAAATATTGAAGGAAACAAACAAAATCCCAACAAACTGTAGTTGGTACCAGTACCAACAAAAGTGACATGGGGGAGGTGTATTGAGGTTATTAGTCATTCCATGGATTGAAAACTGTCATAATCTATGTGGAGGGTTTGCAGGCTGTTCAGGAATGTTGACCTGTCTTCTGGGCCAGCCAGGGAACTCTACTATAGTCTCTCACCTTACCATCTATCTCTGCTGCTTCTCTTAGATTTTAGACAGGAACTATAGAGGTGTTTCTTGACTTGTTAAAAATTCTATACATTCATCCCAATATGAAAATAGAGCCCTCTTCCATGTAGTAGTATAATCCAACTAAATTAACAGAGTTATCTTTGTCAATCATGTAGTGTTCAAGATTATCCTTACAAATCCATCTTATAATAACATTTATTTAACATACAAATCAAGTTTAAAGTTAAAAAATGCAAATGACCAACCCATTCTTTCAAAGACCTTGTTTTTTTTTTTTTAATCTACACATCATCATACATACCAACTGGCAACAGAGTTGGCCTTAAGCCTTTCTCATTCATCTCCCTGAAGGACTGCCTCTCATTTCAAATACAAACAATGCCTTTTTCTTGGTAGTATTAGGAACTGAACCCATGGATTTTTGAGTGCCTGGCCCAAGCTCTGCCACCAAGCTGCATTGTCCTGAAATATGAATAATTCATCTCTTGCCAAGGTCTTTCAATCCTTTTTTTTTTTTTTTTTTTTTTTTTTTTTTTTTTTTAACCCTCTTGGGACAGGGTTTCTCTGTTTAGCCCTAGCTGTCCTGGAACTAGCTCTGTAGACCAGGCTGGTCTTGAACTCACAGAGATCTGCCTGCCTCTGCCTCCCAAGAGCTAGGATTAAAGGCGTGCACCACCACTTGGTCGCCTTTCAATTCTTGACCCAAAAAAGAAGTGCACAAATGAAATGACCCAGTGAGTGTTCACAGGAATAATTATGTATGGTTTCCTTCATTAGGAATATGAATACAAATATCCCAATTTTAATCAGTTAATAGGGAAAGCCATGGCTGAGCTTTGTATGACTAGGAATGCAAGTGGTATGTGGCATTGTAATTACCACATGAAAACAAATCTGCTAGGAAAGTAACATCTTGGGATTTCTACCACACTTTGTAGCAACTTCCTTGAACACCTTTCCATCTCTTGATAATACAGGGGGAATTAAAGGAATGTTCCAGAGACTAGGCAACAGTGAGCTGGATGATGTGGCCAGGAGAGTGACAGAGAGGAATGAGAGTTTTCCTTTTCCTAATTATCAGTTTCTCAGTTACACACTTAACTCTTGGTTTTGCTGTCTGTGTTGCTCAGAGCAAACCCTGTCATTGTCTTCCCCAGATTAGAAAACGGTTGTATGAAAGTTTCATTTGTGGGCTGATAGCAAAAGATGTCTATTATTTTAAGAAATGCCAATTCTGATCATGAATGACGAAATATTTTTTTTACCCCTTTCTTGTGGTTTCAAGTTGTCCCCCATTTCTTCAAAGAATCATCACTTTTGTAAGTTTGTTAATCAAATTAGGTAGGTGTAGTGGAGCATAACTCAATCCCAGCACTGGGCAGAAACAGAGTTCCAAGTCAGCCAGGGCTTCATAGTGAGACCCTGTATACCTCCTCTCTTCACACCCCAAAGTCAAATCATCAAATGTTCGTAAGAAAAGAGACCTTTACATATCATCATTCCTATCATCTCAGGGGCGAAAGCAGGGTCTAAAGAGTTAAGTCCTGAGTCCTACAGTAGTTGGTGGGGGTCTTCCTACTGCCAGACCAGGGCTATTAAGTACACTTCAGTTGAGTATCCCAGGCTAGTCCTACTTCTGTTTCTGGGATTGAAGGTGTGCACCAGCACTGATTTATTTATTTATAAATATTCTATGTGGTCCTGGGGATCAATTTCTGGGCTTCCAACACTGTGCCAACTAAGCTACAGTCTCCAGCCCTCGACCTGTATTCTGAATCTGTCATAACTGAGAGGGTGCTTTGACCAAACCACTGTGGTGTGTGTGTGGGGGTTTATGTGCCATTTTATATTTTTTGGTCCTCTACTAATTTGATAACTTTGATTTCACTGTCTGATGTTTTAGACACGAGACCAGTCATGAAAAAAAAAGCAAATAAGCAAACCAGTGCTTTTACTTTATTTTTAAAAATATCCTTAGATTTAGTTCTTCTATGCATATGGTGTGAGTGTTTTACATGTATGTATGTATGTATTGTATGTATGTGCCTAATACCCATGCAGGCCAGAAAAAGATGCTGGGTTCCTTGCAACTGGAGTTATAGATGGTTGTGAATTGATGTGGTTGATGGGAACATCCCAGGCTTCTGCAAGAGCAAATGCTCTTGATGTTGAGCCATCTTAAACCCCAAACAGAGGTTTAAATAAGTATTTACTTATTTACGATAGGCTGAATAAAGACTGGCTGGAAGTTAGTTTGGTAGCCATCAATTTGTCATAGAGAGATGATGACAATATAGAGAAGGCAGTGGGAAGGAGACACCATCTTTGAAAGCCTACTCTTTACTCCCTTTGGGTTATCTTTCTTTCTTCCTTCCTTCCCTCCCTCCCTCCCTCCCTCCCTTCCTTTTTTTCCTTCCTTTCTTTTTTTGTCCCCTTCTCAGTACTCTTTCAATGAACTACTTCCCCAGCCTGCTTTTTACTTTTAATTTTGAGACAGGGTCTCACTGAGTTGCCTAGTCTGGCCTTGAACTCACCCTATAAGCCAGACTGGTCTTGAACTTGATAACCTGCCCCTGCCTTCCAAAGCAGCTGTGATGACAGGTCTCCACCACAAGACCGAGCTTATCTCATTCCTCATAGAGGGGCCAAGCTTTAAAGTTATCCTATTTATTACCTGGTGGGTGGTGGTGGGGGTTGGTGAAGTGAGGCAAAGAGACATTCAAACCCCATTATCTCCTGAAGCAATGAAGTAACCGCAACTGTAGGCCACACAGAACCAGAAGAGCCCCAAACATCTGTAATTGTCAGTGTCTTGCCTGTTCTGAGCGGGACTCAGGTAGCACAGTAGTCATTCTATCAGGGAGTCTTTATACTTCTTATTAAGGATGTGGGAGGGAAGAACGAGCACAGGCAGACATTTAGGATTTCGGCTGCTTCACTTTGTTTCCTAAAATAGTTGAAAGGCACAGTTAGGTTTATTTTCCCATTTATCAGACTATGATGTTCTGCATTTATGACTGTGTGAAAATATTCAGAATTATGATCCCAGTGCATAAATGTGTCTTTTGGGTTCAATATCTGATTTTGTAATTAATGATGATCATTGTTCCTATTTACTAAATGGAAGTTTTAATGTGTACTTGCTCTGTTTGGATGTTGAATGTGATATATGTGTATTCCCTCAGGGTCTCTATGAAAATAATTATTCTCCATATAAAAGTTATTCTGTAGTATGTAAAAAAAAAAAAAACCCAACAACCACTCACTTTTACACGTATGTATCAACACGATTCTCTGGCGACTGCTTTTACATGGGTCTTAAATTCAAGTTTTAGCATTAGCCCCAGTCCTATTTGGAAGGAGAAAATGTACAGTTCTGACCAGAATGTTCTGTAACATGAAAGTAGTGACACTTTACAGAGGATGGCTTTCTTTTAGTGTATTAACGCTAATTTGCAGTGGGTTCAGTACAAATTTAGGTAAAACTGGCATACCCCCTTCCAGAACTGGATTGTCAGTGCCTAAAACTGTCATTCGAATTCGCAACTCCTTCAAACCTGTTACTACAGAAACAACTATTTTGTTATTCAGCCTAAAAATAAAACATTTCACCCAAACTATATGCTTTAATAACCATCGACCTGATTTAAAGCTAATTTGTAAGAAATGTATTTCTGCAGGTCGCCCGGAGTTGGAACTGGGACAGCAGTTTGGAGGGGGTGATTTTAAAATCATCTTTCTGCTAGGAGACACCTGGAGCTCTTGGGGGCTCCCGAGGTGGGTGCAGGGGGCGAGTCCCGCGGGCTGCAGTCAGGACCACAAGAGTTAATGGGAGCGAGCCCCAGCCAGCTCCCCCTCCCCGTCCCCACCCTCTCCTTTTGGCTGGGGATTAAAGTGCTCCCCCCTGTGGCAGCAGTGACCCAGAAATGAGTCTGCGTCCCCGCGCTTCCTCCGCCGCCAGCCGCACGCCCGACCGGGAGGGCCTGGGCGCGCCGGGCCGGCGGAGCGCGCGGGCGACAGCAGAGGCCCGCCCGGTTCCCCGTGCGGCCTCGGTGGCCCGGACCCATGCGGCACGGCGCGCAGCCCGCGGAGGCCCAGCCCGTGCGCAGCAGGTACGCGGGGGCGGAGGCGCGGGGGCGCGCGGGTCGGGGTGCGCGTCTCAGGCCGCGGTCGCGGCGGCTGCAGGACGAGCCGAGAGGCTCAGCCATATTTGATGGTTTTGTTGCTTTGCTCGGGAGTTCTCGGGAGTAATGTAATGCCGAAGGTCGCTGCCTAGTGGAAATAATATAGTACGTCATTAATATGGCGCCAAAAGATTGGGCTGTGGATCTGTAGCGCGGAGGGAGGAGGCGGCCGCCCGCGCCGCGGCACTATCCCACCAGCAACTTGGGCATCGCCGGGCGGGGGCCGGCGACGAGGCCAGGATGGCCGCGGAGCCCGAGAATTGATCGGTGTTGAATCAGTAAGTTCTATTTCGATTATTATTATTTTCAGTCGGAGGAGGGCGAAGGCTTAGAGCTTTTCCTTTTAAATGTGCGAAGAATATGAGGTTTTCAGGTGATTCATCAAACGTTTTCATTAGCAGAAACCCAGTTTAGTTTATACATTAAAAAAAAAAATCCAAAGTGCCTTAGGCTGCATGAAAGTGGAAAGCATAGTAGCAACTTGGTAGACAGATGGTTATGGCAGAGCGCAGGTTCGCGTACATATATGATTCCAGAGTGTGTGACAGTGTGTGTGGGGGAAGGAGGGTATGAGGGTATGTTTTTCCAAACATAGGTGTGAGGGTGTACATCTGTGTGAAGTGGCCGCAGCCCTGGTTCTTGTCACCGCGTCACCACATGTCCAAAATATTCATTGCATCAATTCAAGGGCAGAGAGAAGGGGGCGAAGAGAAAGCTGGGCAATTAGATTTTTTTTTCAATGAGACCTTTTACTTCCAGCAAGATTGCTTATAAAGTGTAAAAAGACTTCATCGGTGAAATTAGGAAGGGCTTCATCGTTTGAGCAAAGTAACTATTAATCATGAACTTAAAACGGATTGCAGATTGCAACCTTTGGCACCATCTGCAAATTGTGGGGGTGGGGTCTCTGGGTCTCCTTGCTGCCTTACGTGCACATGCACATGCGGTGTGCACCCCGGGACTGCAAGTTGCAAAATCTTCCCGGTGCACGTGTCTGGTGCCTGTGAGTGTGTTTGCGAGTTGGGTGCTGTTGTTCGGTAGCCAGTAGGCTTTCCGGGTCGGCTCGGCTCGGCGTGGGCTTGCAAATGCGGGAGAGGGATGGAATGTGGAATGTTGACCGGAGAACCGAATCCTTTCGGAACGGTCCCATTTGCTGGAGAAATTCGATACCTTCCACCTCCTACCCGCCCCCCCCACCGCCCGCCTTCGGGCAGGAGGCGGGGCCGAGGACGCCGCTGCTGCTCAAAGTGGCGGAGCGCGGCGGCGGGAGGCAGGTGCACAGCACCGCCGGTGGGGGTGCCTCAACTTCCGCGGGCGTTTAAATAGCAGCCGGGCTCCCCTCCCACCGGTAATAGGTGACCTGGCGGCCGCGGGCGGCGGGGGAAGGGACCGGGGACGCCGGGGCACGAGCCTACGCGGCACGTGGGCAGGTGCTGGTTGGCCCCGGGGCCAACTTTTGCAGCCCGCCCTCCTGTACGGGAGAGAGGCGGAGGGCGTAGAGACGGGGCCGGGCGGCGGCCCCAAGGCGGCTCCCTGCCGCGGCCCGAGCGTCGCCTAACGGTCCCAGGCGCTCCGGGGCCGCCCGGGGGTAGCCCGGCCCCGTCCCCACGCTGGAACCCCGCACAAAGCCCGCGGCGCGGGGTGGCCGCCGCCCGACGCAGTCCCTGTTCCCGCGCCGCGGCGGCCGCAGGCGTTTGTTTGTTGCTTGCGCGCCGCCCTGCGCGCCGGATGGCTTCCTGTGACAGAGGTGATCCACAGTTTCCAGAACTGTCTGGGGGCGGGAGCGCGAGCCGAGCCCGCCGCGTTGCTCCGCCGCCGCTCTGCTGCTCCCCGGGCCCGCGGGGAGGCCGGGCGGGGAGAGACGGCGTAGCCGTTTGCAGCGGCGCAAGTGGCGTGCGGACGCGAGGGAGCGTTTGATTTGCAACTGGGGCCGAGCGGATTGGTGCAGCTGGCGGCGGCGGGCGGGAGCGGCGGCGGGGGGTGGCCACTTTCAAACGCCGAGGGCGGCGGCGCGGGCGCGGGGCCGGCGGCGCCGCGGGGAGGCGGTGTCATCCCCGCACCGGGGCCGGAGTTACTTTCCCCTCCTCCCGTGCTGTTGTTCCTGTCGCCTTGGGAGGAGCGGGAGTGCGAGGAGGCGGCGCCGCGCGGTGCCGGGCCCTGCGCCGGGCGGGAGGGCTCCAGGGATGCCCGCGGTCCTTGGCCCCACCCCGGGTCTCCTGCCGGCTTCCCCGCCCCACCTGGGCCTTCCTAGCTGGGTGCGGGGCCCTGCAACCAGTTTCCAAGGGCCCTTTCTCTCCCTCCCCCCATGTCCCCCACTTCCCAACCCTTAGAGCTTCCCTTTGCGGGCCTCCCCATTTCTCACCCCCGATCCTGGGTTCGGGGCCTCCATTCCGACCTCTCATTCCCTGGCCCTGATTCCCCCATACCGCCTCCGTGGCCCGCGGCTTCCCGGGCTCCGCATCCCTGCTCTGGCTTCACACCCGGGCTCCCCCTTCTGGGCACGCGGGGGCGGCCGCACTCCCGGCGCCGGTGAATTGCTGTGAGCAAACAACAACAAAAAAGCGGGCGATTTAAATGTGCCTTCGTAACCAGTTACAGCTCGTCATCTCTGGGAGACTCGTTTAAAAGCAGCTTTAGGTGACTTTCTAGAAACGTGGTGGCGAAGGTCTTCTGCCCTTGTGTTGTTGACCCGTGCCTGGAGGGGATTTAAAATTTCCTTTTGTGAAATGTTTTGGCTTGGCCACGGAGCTCCGCTTTTAGGAAAGTGGAAGAGAACCCGAGGTTCGCATTCCCGGGAAAGTTTGTGTGTGTGTGTGGGGTGTCTTTCCAAAAGGGCTCCCATAGGTGGAGTGTTTTTCCGTTTTAGAATACCTGCGGTGGAGGGTACCTCTCGATGCTTGGTTCTTAAGGCTAAAGCCTTTCAAAGGTGATGAACTACTTTCAAGACACAGGGAAGAATTTTCCCGAAAGCCAATATAAGCAGTGATTCATCGGTGGTTGGACCACACTACTTAGGATACAACGTCATCTACTTGGAGTAAGGAAGTGTTCATTGGACTTAAAAAAACTCACTCACGGTCGGGATTTCTTATATGTAGCAGTGGACCACATCTTTAGGGAGGTCACATACTCTGGCAACTTTTTTACCCTAAAGATTTTAGTGCCATTCACTATAGCGTTTTTACACATTTAAGAATCTGTATTACATTTAATGTTGTAGGACTGGTTGACTGAGGATACTGTCACAGAAAACTGAATGTGTGTGTGTGTGTGTGTGTGTGTGTGTGTGTGTGTGTGTGTTTGGGGGAATGTACAGTGTGTGTTTAGAAGCACTTAGAGGCTTATACTCACCTTAGATTCAGACCTAACTTAAAAGATTTAAGTGGCCTCTTCAAAATGTCAAACCATGTGTGAGTTTTGGCCTTGTCACCTGCATATGGTTGCAACTCAGCCCTGGAGAGTGTGCCTAAGTCTGACATTGTTACCAAGTACTGAAGTTAGAAAGACCGTTTTTTTTTGAATGTTTGGTGTTTTATGCCCTTTCGTAAAGTTTGCATATTTTTGCAAATGTATTTGATTTGGAATTTCGTCTTCTAGAACAAATATAGTTTCCAGTTAATGTGCCAGGTTTCCCCACGTTTTGCCCATGCCAGCAGTGTGACTGGTCCGTTCCCAGGATGTATAGCAGAACTTGCATTTCATTCTACTTTAGAGCCCCATGCTGCTTCCTAGCGTGGGGTTTGAATTGTCAGAGAAATCTGGATGGGGACTGTGTACCTAAGTGGTAGAGCCGATTGCCTAGATTGTATGAAAGCCTAGATTCAGTCCCCAGCACAGCCAGAGAGGAGAGGAGAGGATTCTTTCTCCTTCCATCACTTGTAGCCTATGAAAAACTTTACTCTAGTTACCAAGATTGCAAGAGTAGGTAGACAGGGAAAGTCATCCAAGTGGTAACAGACAAGGGAAGGAGTTTAAAGTGATTGTCATTTCGAAGCAAGGCTTGTCCAGCCCAGTGATGAGACGAACTAAACGTGGAAATGTTTCATGTGCCCCACAGGTAGTAGATAGCCTTTGGGTTAAGAAGATGTTGGGCAGTGGTGTCATGTGTTGATATTGAGGAACAGAGTACTTGGCTGTTACCCAGGAGTCACCACAGGATCACTGTAGGGGTGATGGGGGGCTGTGTGTGCCCTCGAGTGCTGCCCTCGAGTGCACACACACCTCTGCCTGAATCAAAGTAGGGTCTATCTACATGAATGCCTGTGAGGTGAGGTGCTTTCCCTGTCCGCTAGCTTGGTAAACTTTTTCATTGACTACTAAGGCATATTTGCTTTCCTCATTTGATCCTGCTGTATCATAAGGCAAGTTTCTTAGAAACCACTGGTCCTTGAAGGATTTTGAGTGAGGTGAGCCTTTGGCTGTGAAGTTAATTGAATTAAAATTGCAACTCAAATGTCATCATTGTAATTTGGGAATTATCTGTTTGAAAAGTACTCGAAGGAAGTGTGGTTGTCTGGGGTATGTATGTTCAGATTGCCCAGATAAAAGGTCGTAAGTTTCAGTTGAGGTGGCTGGAATATAGCCTGTGTTAGTCTTGGATTGGGATTTCTTCTTTGTTAGGGATGAGAGTGAGGAGGAGGTAGATAACTGATGACTGACTACCACTATCACATGGGCACCTGTTACATCATTACAGCCAGTGGTCTGTCATAGTTGGCACCATAAACCAGTTTTCCTGCAGGTTTATAGATTAAATAGCCTCGGATGGTTGTTGAGATATTGCAGGCAGTGTTTGAATGATTTGAAATGGCATTGAGAGGTTTGGCTTGGTAGAAACACTGAACATCTTAAACGTCATCCCTTGTCTTGGCTCTCACTTTAGGAAACTGGCCCCGTGTGCAGTATCCTTTCCTTATTCCCTTACCTTTTCTCCCCATGGCACTGGGGATTGCTTGGGAGTACTTCCTTTTTCATGAAGTGTATTAACCTCATAACATTAATTAGCAAAGTAGTTTAATTGTAATTCTTTGTTTCCCCGAAAGTTTTATGTGTGAATTGATTTTTCTCCCCTTTCAGGGTCTTGCAGCATTCTGATCATGCATTTAGAATTTAGGGCTGGGTGAACAGCTCAGTGGGGCAGTGCTTTTCCTAGTGTGGTGACTCGAGGCACAGCAAGGAAGTGTGGAATTTGGATGACTACTATGTGTGGTAATTACTGTTTGGTTATTTCATTTATTTTACCCCTGTGCTGGGCATTGGACCCAAGGGCCTTGGGTAA